TTCAGGTTTAATGCTTCTTTGTGGGCATCGATCACTCCACCTTTTGTAATTATGGTCTTGGCTTTGTTCTTTTGGATTGGAGCCTCTTTTCATAGTTAGGTTGAGCTCCCTATTATTTTGAGCTTGTTTTTGTACGTCCTTATATTCTTTCATTTGTTCATACATATACATATATATTTTTTTTTCTTTAAAACAGAATTTGCATGTTCCTTCATTTCATGTAACCAAAGATGGAGACAGTACTACACAGTATTGTGTGTATAAACTAATACCCTCCTTGTGCTGCTGCTGATGATTTCATTTGAGTTTTTGTTACTATTCTCGTCTTTTTTTACTGCCTTCTATGTTCATATCTTGGTTATTTTCTCTTTGTGGTAGTGCTCCTTTTGCAATCTTATTGAACTTCGTTTGAACATAACAAACTGGATTCATTCTGATATTCATTCTGGAGTTCCTTTGAAAGTTTGGGGATCCTCAAATGATACCCTCCAATGTCATGTCTTGTTCCTTTATGGCTTCTTGTTTGGATGTCGTCTCCTTGCTTACTTGGGTTGTCAGGAAAAAAGAGGAAAGGAACTTATGATCATTATTTTTGGGTTATAGGTGGATGGTATGGATGCTCTAGCTGTCAAACAGGCTTGCAAGTTTGCGAAGGAACATGCTTTGAAGAATGGACCAATTGTGAGTTTCCTCTCTATTAAATGCATCATGGTTGCTAAGGGGAACATGTTTTGAAGAATGGACCAAGTTTGTTAAGGAACATGTTTTAAAGAATGGACCTTGTTGTTCAGTACATGCTGGTTTAACCTCATTGGGAGGGCGTACTCCCCAATCCCTAAGCTATCCCAAAAAAAGGCACATTATTGTTCCCTTCTAGTAAATGTAAATATATTTATGTTTTCTCTTTGTTTCTTGTCAGATCCTTGAAATGGACACCTATAGGTATCATGGTCACTCTATGTCTGATCCTGGTAGCACATACCGAACACGTGATGAGATCTCTGGTGTTAGACAGGTTTGCTTCTTTTAAATATTCATCATTTTCTGAATAGCATTTCACTATATGTTTTTTTTTTTTTCTAGAATCAGATTCTGATTTTTGAATGTTTTCATTATGATTTAATACCAGGAACGTGATCCCATTGAAAGAATAAGAAAACTGATAGTATCCTATGATCTGGCAACTGAAAAGGAGCTAAAGGTATATTGTTGGACTTGGTTCTGGATGCTAACTTTTTTCGTTTGCAATTTGGAATATAATTGATTGGTGAAAAAGTTAGTTATCATGTTGTCTCCTACCTTGACCGATCAAGTGCTTCACTTGCAGTGTATTATTTTGTTCATTGGATTGGTCTTGAACCTTTTTGACAACTAAACTTTTTTTTTTTCGTTCATTAGGATATTGAGAAGGAAGTCAGGAAGGAAGTCGATGAAGCTATTGCTCAAGCTAAGGTGAGCAGCATGTAGTCAAATAAATTAATAGTTCGAATTGTGTTTGTGCATAACCAAATTTATGGAATACATTCATTTATGAACTAATCTCTAGGAAACATTTTTCATGTTGTCTTTACTAATAGTAAATACGAATAATAGTTGTTTGCGCCATGTTTCAGGAAAATCCGTTGCCAGATCCTTCCGAACTCTTCACAAATGTGTATGTGAAAGGTTTTGGAACTGAGGTATTTTTCATTTCCTTTGTCTTAACTGTTCGATTGTAAATATTAAGTGAACTCGAGCATAATGCTAAATCAGAGTATCAGTATGAAATTCACGTGTGAAACGGAATGATGGCTAATCCGTAAAATATGGTTCGTTCTTCTTAACACAACTCTTTTCTAGAGCAAAGGAAATAGAAGTAGGAACAGTGTGTTAAATGCCATCTTGTTCTTAATTCTACAAATATTTTTACTCGACGTTCACTTGTTTTCTTTTTGTCAATGTTCACCCACTTGATTCGAGGGAAAATTGTGGTTAAAAGTTGTTATTCTATGTCAAACTGAGTACTGTCAAGGGTGCCTTTAGAAGTCCCGTAGAAGTCTCCATGATCTTCTTAGCATCTGCGTGGAATCATTTGTGTTCATGCTTTGATAAAAAAGAATGTTATAGTTTGAAGTAATTCTGTACTTCTAGTTGTCTTATCGCCTTAATTTCCACTGCAGTCATTTGGAGCAGATAGGAAAGAGCTGAGAGCGGTACTTCCATGATTTATTTATATCAAGTGTTCGAGAGGCCTGCTTGGGACCTCCAAACTCCCCCCAAAATCCATCAGAAGCAAAAAATGGATAATAAGGATGTTTGATTGAAGTGATGTTTCCCTTCACGGCTGTAAGTTTGGTTACCACTAAATTTTCATGTAGATTATGAATATATTTTGTTTGTTTGTTTGTTTGTCCCTTTCATTCAGTGATTCGAGCTCGAGATATTTAACCCTCAAACGTTGGTATATTCATTCGTAACTGTGAAATATGCTTCTTGCATGAGCATTCACAATAAAGAGGAATCATCTTATGGGATCACTTCCTATATATATTACCCTAAAGTTGGGATTCCTCAACGAAGTTACTTTTTTGGTTTGAGTTGGGTTGTTTGAGACTGTTTGTTAGAAACTTGATATGAAAATTTGATTAGCTCGATTCAAACGTAGAAGGTAACAGTTCTGGTAATACATATATATGTCATTACTTATCTTTCATTGTTGAGCTATGGTGAAATAGATGACTGAACCCTTAGCATTTGTGTTGATAAATAAATTCTTTTCATTGAATTAACTGCAGATTTGAATGTGTAAGCTTAGAGTGAACTTAGAACAACGAAGTCCTTTGACATTGAGCAATAAAATCTGTTAGGATTGAACTAAATACTCTGAATCTTGATCGCCCTGGTTAAATGTGGACTTGCACATTCAAATCTCCCTTATCTAAACCAAGAGTAAACCTAAGCTTGGTTGGTTGAGAATGAACATTTCATTCTGGCAAACATTATTACTAAAGGTTCGGGAGGAGGCTATATGGATCTACGTATTATAAGCTCCCATGATATTGATTAAATCAACTAGTTAAATCAATTTTCGTTAACTATAAGACACATTACCCTAGGCATTGTAGCATTGTAGGACAAGTTATACTCATTGATATTCTTCGTTACATGCAAGTTGATCTTTTGTTCATAATTAAGGACTAATTGTTCTCTATTTATTTATTTATTATTATTATTGTTCAAGTTTCTAATCAAGAACTACTCATCTACTTATTTTATGCGGGGATGAACGAATTATATCTTGTGAAATAATGTTTCCAGTTCCCTAAAGCAGTAGGTATATTAAATCGGCTACAAAAATTAAACAAAAGACAAGCCCTCACAGATGAGAACTACACATCTACAATTAATAGATTTGCAAAGAAAATATTTCGTGGTTAAGTCTTATACAAACTCATAGTATAGCATACCCCTGTTCACATGTCTACACTCATAGTATAGCATACCCCTGTTCACATGTCTACACAGGATCGGTAAACGATTTGAATCAAATCATTTCTATTAATTACAAAGTAAATTGTATCAATTGTGTTACTAAAATAATGCACCCTTTAAATTATTATTTGAACAGATGCTTGTAATGTATTAACCTTAGATTTTTCATTATATTTTGGTCAAGTTCCACTACCGTTCTTCCTTCTTTTCTTCCCATCGCCACCCACGGTAGTCACAAGCCTCACCGCCAGACCGCACCGCCGCTGCGACCAACGTATCATGCTGTAGGCGTCTACAACCGGCCACACCGAGAGCAATCGCATGCTATTGCCGCCACGAGCTTCACTACTCATTGACGCAACTGCCCATGCCAGTTCCCACCTCACCACTTGCCACTACAAGCCAACGCCACCGCCACCACCATGTGTTTCTGCACATCGCCACCATCGCCGGTGGTTGGCCTCTACTTCTCCTTCCGACAGAGTATTGCAGTGGCGGCTCTACACGTCTTCACCATTTTTTTAATGTCTTAATTATTTATTTACTTATTCCTTCATTTATTTATATCTTCATTAACCCACTAAAATCCAAAATATAGTATTTAAATCCTTTAAATTAAATATATTTTTCTCCTTTCTATTTAATATATCAAATAAATATTTATTAAATATATTTTTCTCCTTTCTATTTAATATATCAAATAAATATTTATTTCAACTTTTCATTTTTTTTAAGTTAGTAAGCCACTGCAAGAACCTATACTATCAAATTAGTTACAATTAATTCTCATTCATCAACTATAATGGTTCACTTTTCCGTAAGTTTTTAGTTGAACTCTTATACACAGTAATACAAGTTATATTCATGAATATAATCAATAAAATTGAAGTTGACCTTTTATGAGATATTCATAATTATAATTAGGTTAAAAGTTTGATTTACCCTCGTAATTACATCTTTCACCTTAAATACCATTAATTCATAAGATACAACTAAAAACTAAGTCCCTCTTGGCTAGGTTTATCCGATTTGCACAATAAATATTTCGTCCAGGGCGGCTGTTTATATAGTTCAAGCTCAGGGAGCAAAAAGAAAGAAAACTCCGTCCTTGCTCTTGCTACTGGTGAGGATGAGGACTTTTTCATTCTCAAGAAAATAGGAGTGAACCTTAATCTAAAGCCGACTAGAGGAATAGGCCAATCGAAGAATTGACTTGGAAAGAGAAATAACTCACTGGAGCAACAACAAAATTCTTTCCTTTAAGAATGGACAAGAACTCGAGCAAAAGAAGCAACTGGACCTGATACGACTTTGACCGCTCTTAGGACTGAACCGAATGGAAGACTAGGGGACTTGGTCAAAGACAAGTTCCTCTACTTCTCGGTAGGATTGAGTATAGGAGAAAGGAGGGGAGGGTGAAACCGTGTTATTCAATTCTCAAAATCAGCTTAAGAGAACTACTCATCTACTTATCTTATATAGGAAGCAGTAAATTTCAACGATCGAGTCAAATCATTTGCAACATAATCTTTATCAACAATATCACGACAACGTTATCCATATAGTATACACAACATATTGATTGGATTTTACATAAATTAGTTTCATATAAATACATCACCCGCCAAGACTCTTACGAATATGAGCGATCTCACATTCGCTAATTTCAAAAGACTTCTTCAACACTTCTTCGGGGATTTCAGGTTTAGAACCGAACGCCGCCAACGCCACCAATTGGGCGCCGGGGTTTTGGCTGTTAAGCCCAGAGACCGCGACAGCCGAGTTCTTCACATCTTCATTGTACATGAAATGAACCAATCCCTTCGGAAAAACAAACGACTCTCCTGGCCCTAATTTCTTCGTAAACACCCGATTCGAAGTGTCCACAAACCCCACAACCATTCGCCCAATCAAGCAAATCGTCACTTCCGAGGCTCTCGGGTGCGAGTGGAGCGGCACAATCCCTCTGCCGCCGATGTCGATTCGAGCCAATGTCAAGCCCAATGTGTTGATTCCGGGTAAGTTTTGGGTGTTTGTTAGTGTAACGCTGAATCCGAATAGGTTTTTGGTGTTTCCAGGTAGGGATAGAGCCGATGTTGTGAAATGTTGTGTATTAGCTAAATTAGGGTTTATGCAAGGAATGCCATTGAAGAAGGAAGATGTGGAGGCTTTCGGGTCGGCTACGCAGTAATCTTGAAGCGGGTCGGGATCGGAACGAGCGATGTCGAATTCCAAAGCTAAATATAGAATTATTAGTAATGAGAGAAGCAGAGATGATGGAGTTGCCATTAGAGTAAGGGATTAGAGGTTAGATGTTGAGTTATGGAATGGGAGAAACATTATAGTTCATATATATATATGTATATGTGTATATAGATATATAGATATATATATAGATGGTGGGGACGGTATTGAGTAGCTTAAGAGCATTGAGGGAGGGGAAGTAGTGAAGGCAAGCTAAAAGTAAAGGTGGATTAAGCCAAGTTAGCACCTCTAATTGATTGTTTTCAACCTTTTCAAGTGTATTATTAGCATTCTTTTGTGGTCTCATCATCCAAGCAACCATTTTTTAGTCTCTTTTTTCTTGCTTTGGAGATTAGTTTCATGAAGTTGTTTATTATGTTTTCAATTTGGCTCGAATATTGCTATACGTATGTACGTATGTATTATCTTCCTCTAGGGATTAATGGTATGTTCATTACTTTAGACTAGTCTAGAGAGGTTTGAAGATTTTTGTAATAGCCCAAGAGACCAAGAACACGGTTAGTGGATATTGTCCTCTTTGAGTTTTTCCTTTCAGGCTTTCCCACAAGGCTTTTAAAATGTGTATGCTAGGGAGAGGTTTCCACACCCTTATAAAAAATGGTTCGTTATCCTCTCCAATCGATGTAGGGTCTCACAATTTTCGTTTATCTTTGTTTATCTCTGGTTGTAATATCATTTGCAAGTGGTTAACGAAGATTTTGAAAAATAGGTTGGCTATGGCGTCCGAAGGTTATTGGTCCTAATCAATCAACTTTTGTGTGTGAATTGGAGTTTCATTTTTTTGTCTGGTTTTGACCTTGTGAAAACAACATACTTAGGTTTTGTAGATGACTTGATGATTTTTAGTCATTTCGATTATGATTGTGAGATCCTGCGTCGGTTAAAGAGGGGAACTAAGCATTTTTCATAAAGGCGTGGAAACCTCTCCCTAGCAAATGCCTTCTATAAACTTTGAAGGAAAGCCTAAAAAAGACAATATCGGCTAGCGATGGCTTGGGTCATTACAATGATTCTCTGAGTTCTGTCTTAGAATGCTTGTAGAAATTTGAGACTTTGTCTCGGTTGTACGTGAATCCTAGCAAGAGTGTTTTTTTCTATGTGAGTTTGTGTATTCATGATACCTTGATTTTGATAGATGTGTTATCTTCGTCTCCTCATTTGAGATGACTGACCTATCATTACTACGATGTACTACTACCCATGTGAATAGTTGGTACGTGCGAGTCCTATCCTGCACGGGTAGGTTACATCTCATTCGGTTTGTTTTTCAGAGCTTCCAAGTGTTTTTGTTCTCCCGACTTGTGTTGTCAATAAGGTTGACCGAGCTCTGTGTGTGTATCTTTGGAGAGGTGATGCTTCTGCTTTGAAGGTCTCTAAGGTGGCTTGAGAGGATATCTGTTTGAGGATATATATAATTAATGTTAACCAAATTCATATTTCATAGTCTTTACTCTCCAAATTACTAATATATATATTATATATATATAGTTTAGTGTTTGTTGAAAATATATTTATATTAAGCAAAGCGAGAAATATAATCCCGTCGTCTTTGGTCCCAAAATATAATCCCGTCGTCTTTGGTCCCATTTATTGGGCTCTCCCATTCCCGTCTAAGCAAGAAATCCCCTCCCCAAAAATGAACATTTCTATATAAAAGTAAACTCGGTTGGTGAAAAATTAAAATGCTTCAAAAACAATATTAAAAACTAATATACAAAAAACATATATAATATTAAAATATTTGGGTTTAGAGATATATTAGGAAAATGTAGACCCATAGATAAAAAAAAAAAAAAAAAGCGACTAAACTATCATAACTAGTGAAAGATCAGGATAACTGAAATAAACTACAATCATCATCTTCAGCCTAAGGAAAAGTAGAAACTATCTACTCCATTCGAAGCCACCCGACTCACCACCATATCTGGGATTCGCGTTATTTACTCGGCTGCTATCTTCAGGCCTCATCGTGGTGTTCGCAATGGTATGCCATCCCATGAGGTGCGGCAAGATAAACTGCAAATCAGTGAATTCAACCCTATCACAAACCCAACCTTAAACATCCAATTCATCAATTATATTCACATAATTTGGAGAAAACGAAAGGAATATAATTTGGAGAAAACGAAAGGGTTATCACAAGTAAGAGTACAAGAGTTCGTCAGTTCAGTTTGGGAATATAATTTGGAGAAAACAAAAGGGTCATCACAAGTAAGAGTACAAGAGTTCGTCAGTTCAGCTTGGATCCCATATCGATTGGGGAGGAAAATGAAACATTCTTTATAAAAGTGTGAAACATCTACCTAGAAGAAGCGTTTTAAAAACTTTGATGGGAACCCAAAAAGGAAAAGCACAAAGAGGATAATATCTGGCTAGCGATGGGCTTGGGCCGTTACAAAAAGTGACCGATCCCAAATTAACTGTCTAATCTTCAGTTCTTAACTTAATGAAACTGAACAAGCAAATAAGAGTTCTTGAAACCAACCGGACCAATTCAGTTTTGGTGAGTTAAGTAGGTTCTTTTTTCTCAATTTTTGCAGTTTCCACTGTCCTGATCCAAATCATACACACAGCTTTTCTCTCCTTTAATCTCAATCACTGATACTGAATGAACCAAACAATCATGAAAAGAAAGTAAACAAGAAAGAACTTTACCTTGAAAGCCTCAACAAGTACAGTATACTCGGCTTTGGTGATGGGAATATAAATGCTCTCATCTACGTTGATTAGCTTGTTCTGAACGCCTTGTGCAACAAAATAGAACAGAAAAGGTAAGGAAAAAATGAAACACTTTCTCAAGCATCATTCCACTCAAAGAAATATTGGTTGCTTTGTCCAACTAGGGTCTAATGCATATCTCTATTATGCTAGCATTCTATTTGTGGTGGCTAAGTATCTGACACGTGTTGGACATGGAGATGTAGCCAAATTCAGCTTTATATTCAACTCAAATGCATCATAGAGGTTTCAATTCAAGACTTACTGAGATTGAAGAAATGTCCAGAACCATCTGGAAGAGGCTCGACTTTTAGTATCTTTCTGACCTTCCCTTCATCACTGTAGAACAAATATTTTGCCATTTCTTGTTATCATAAAATAGTGTGTTTTCAAACCTGCAAATCTTTCCTTACAAATAACTTATGACGTAAAAAACATTTTGTTTGGCTAGTAAAGAGAAACGGCCGGCATGTACCCGCGAGAGGAGGTGGTATTTGGTTACTAAAGCCTACAGGGATCAAGACATCATTGTTTTCAAATTTCAATGTTCAATGTGATGCAATCATACAATTCTAAGAACTAAGAAAACACGCTTGGGCAGACTGTATAAATGTTTGGGGTAACCAAGGAATACACATAAACATGAGCATGGCACAACAGAAGAAACTAATGGTATAGATTTTGATTGAGATTGTAAACAGATAGTACCTTTTTCCCTTGTAGGGATCATGGAAAAATTCGCAAGACTCCCGTGGGCCAAGGGCGACTAAACTTCCCAATTCTGTCAGTGATAATGAAAATACCTATATACAAAAGAAAGTATAATCTAATTTAGCTCATTCTCACAGTAGGAAGATTGTGATTTCAAATCCACAATGACTTTAACCTTTTCAAGACATCATCTAATTATAGTTCATCAAAATAGTTTGATTTTAGTAAACAGAAAAATGATTGTAGTATTTTCAATATCATCTACTCCATCATAGTAATGGAAATGATACTACATTTTCACATATCTATGATGGCAAATATGAAGCCTGTGGAATAGTAATCAGCATAAGCTAGAATTTCAGTTTAGCTCATTAAGTCAGAAACTTCAATAACTTTAGGAGTTAAATATCAGCCTGTTTTAATGAACACCTGTTTTCTGCTCCAATCATATTGACGAACACCAGCTGCAGGGGCAAGCTGAAGCATTACAAATCCTTGCCTGGATACTTTGAACGCCCCCGACTGAAAAATTTGGAAGAGATTAATAACCTTACAATGCTAAAAAAACAAAGAAAATGACCTGTAATGTACTATGACTAAGTGCAAGAACATATTCTTGTGATGAATATAGAATCCATGTCAAACATACATCTATAGGTGTAAACTCTGGTGGCCTAGGCTCGATGGACAGGGCAGCCTTTCCTTTGTATATCGAATGACCGACAAAAAACCTTGGTGGCAAAGCCGCGGCAGCTACAAACAAGCCAAACCATAATACTTCAGAACCCGAGAAATCAAAAACAACTGTTACAGAATACACAAGGAACTTCAAAAAGCCCCTCGGATTGGGAGAAACCCTTCGAAATTGAACCATGTCTAAATAATCCCAGCTTTGAGGGAGAGAAGAGAAACAAACACCGAACAAGGTCATAATAATTCGACCGTGCATGTCGTCAATGTCACAAACGGATCTATATACTTCATTTTGGTTCCAACATAAACCAAATTTCCTAATAGCATCAAATCCACCTCTCCACCGCCACCATGACCGACAGGATATACGAAGTTCTTCCAAAAAAAAAAAAAAAAGAGAAAGAAAACAGATAAGCAAGTACCGCCGGCGCTTGTTTGTGGCGAAAATGAATCGGTCTGAGAGGCTGGTTCGAAGGCAGGCTGCTGCGTGTTCCAGGACGCGTACTGGCATTTTGGAGAAGGTTTTCGTGTAGCGGTGAGAGTGAAGAGTTGGCGAGAGGAGTTGAAACCGCATCGTCTGGGGTTCTTACAGGGTTGTGCGCAGAGCTCGGGGGGGTTTAATGGCGGAAGCAAGGAAGAAGACAGCCATTGAAGACGCAGCATGGTTTCGGCTTTGTCCTCGCGGCTATTCTATCTCGGCGAGGGTTAGGGAGACAACCAAACCAAACCATTTTCACCCTCAAAACCATGTACGGTTAATTTTAAAAATATCCTAAGATAATAAATTTAATAATATTTCATTCACCACGTACTTAACTGTTTTCGAGCGTTTTTACCACGACAGTTACCTTACGTAAATAACATGAAAAGTAGCACGAGTGAGTATAAAACATTTAGTAAACAATATACTACAACATACTGTGCAGTTTCTAATTCAATTCTATAATGCTAATTATCATGTATCTGGGTCATATACTTTTTAGTCAACTAACTCGATTTCACGACTATAACCCAGCTCCTGCAAGGCACTACGCCCTCTCGGATTCTCACTATCGAACTGCCCTTAAGACCCTAACTCTCTATTCATACTCACTCTATCTGAGCTCGTGTTGACTCTCAATGCGTAGTACTCAATTCCTTTGGAGCATATTCAAACCCTTCTAGGGTTCTTAATGGGTCTTAGGCTCCAGTACGGAATGTTCTTACTCGTGTCACTCAGCCCAAATATCAAGTATTTGTGAGGTGTGACCTCTAACTGTTCCCAACTAATGAACTAATAGGACATGAGGGAAATTATCACGGGATAATAGTCAACTATAAGGGAGTAGCTGGTAACTCTCTAGTAGGCCGACAATTGAGAGGGAGGTGACCCTCGTGCTTGTCGAGCTATATAACCCTCATGTGGCACCTCGCCCCTGAAGATGAGTTTCTGATCAAGGAAGAGTTGGAGATCTATATATATATATATATATATTATTTTAGTATTTTTTATTTTTTTAATTTAAAAGAAAAATTAATTGGCGGACGGAAAAGTCGAGATAAAAACGCGGTAGGCTAACCAGAAAAGTATAAGCGTAGAAAACAGAGAGTCCGTCGTCTTCCATTTGTTTCTTCCTCCAAATTTCATATCACTTTCTCGCGACTCTTCCCATTCCCCATTTTATACACTCCATTTCACTGTTTTTCATCAATCTCACACCCCTTTTCTCTCACATTTCCGTATTTTAAGGTCAGTCTAACACTTTCATCCCTTTCCCTTTACATTTTCCTTGCATAATTGCTTTAATTTTCGCTATCTCCGCCTTTTTCTTCAATTTTTACTCATCAATTTACTTTCATTTTTGAGTTTGATACTTCCGGTGATTCGGTTCTCATACTTGTTGTTAATTCCGCTCTGGGTTTGTAAATTTGCTTCGGTTTCGATTCTCTGTTTCTTGTTCAATTGTATATTTTAGTGGTTTAATTGTACAACAAGTGATAATGAACTCTGTTTTTGCTGGATGAATTGTTTGTCGAAGTAAATTTTGGAATGGAAGATATTGTTCGACGGGTTTACTTTATTATGTTCCATTTGTATTTTTTTTTCTTTTGTTTTTGTATTGCGGTCTCCACTAAGTAAACCTGTGTACGTGTGAAATTCTTTATTATCCTTTTGGAAAAATATGTGGTGCTTGCTTTTCTAAGGCAATCTTTTCAATAAGCAACCAATGAGAGTTTACTTTGACTTCTTCTAACATCTATCCATCAAAACTTTGTGGTGGGACCAAAGATTTGACGGACCGTATTTCATCCGCATCATAATTCAACTCTTGTATACGAATCATTAGAAAAATTATCGAAAGGATTATTGTTTTTTTTTTTTCTTTTTTTGTTGAATCATTTCAGGGCCTTGCAATTGAGAAGGCAAGGGATAAAGGTTTGCTTGTTTTTCTTTTTGTGTTCTTTTTCTTCTCCTCCAGCCAAAAAACAATTGAAGTGCCTCTGGATTTTAACTGCTCTCTGTCATCTATATGGTTACCCATGCAAGGTCTTAAATTTTATGATTTGAGGCGTGAAGCCCATTTCTTTTTCTTTTTCTCCTCCAATTTTTCTCTTCTTAAATCTGGATCACTTCAAAATGGATCTAATAAAAGGAATTTAGTGTGATATGTTTCAGTTTTCTTCAAAACCTCATGATCTTCATTTTCTAACCCAAAGATCTTAGTAGAGATGTGTAACGGTCCAAGCCTACTGCTAGCAGATATTATCCTCTTTGAGCTTTCCCTTTCGGACTTACCCTCAAGGTTTTTAAAACGCGTTTGCTAAGGAGAGGTTTCCACACCCTTATAAAGGGTGTTTCGTTCTCCTCCCCAACTGATGTGGGATCTCACAAGATCTTAAGTTGGGTATTCCAATTTGAATCGTGTATGATTGGAATTGAGGAAGTTAATTTCTAAGATTAAGTACCTGCACGAAATCTCTAAGTTTGAATATGCAGTTTTGGTGTTGGCTTATATCATGCCAAGCTGTTTGGCTTTTTTGTTTTAAAGTTTTAAATTAGGCAATATCATTCATAAAATTTGATTTCAGAATATGTAGTTTTGGTGTTGGGGAGCTTCACTCACCAATGTTTGACTGACTCTAAATTTCTAAAAGTTTGGTTACTGAATGTTCTTTAGTTTTTCTCCATCTCTCAGCTTTAGGAGCATTTAAATGAAGTTGATTGGCCTTCGATTAAGAATATGTATGGTAGGAAGAGGGGAAGATGTGTTGAATGAATCAAAGGTTTTATGTGCTGGCCCACGTTAGTTACTAATTAGGCTGTTTGTGGGAAATTGATTATTTTGTTCCTTGGCTCTTGTAATCTCTATCTAATTGTCAATAATAGAAATGACTTCTAACACAAGTTTTGGTATTAAATTTTAAAAAACTACATATTAAATTATGAGAGGAGACTTCATTTATAGTGTCTTGAGTATCAAAAGAAAAGTTGATGATTTGAGTTAAATTGTAAATATAATGTTCTTGAGGAAGATAACAAGTTCAAAAGCATTTTTCTTTCTTCTCTGACTCTGTTCTTTGTTCGATGATCATGGATTTCTCTTGTCATAACAGTTGAGAACTCCAAAAATGGGTCAAGCATTAGGTTGCATTCAAGTCGACCAGTCAACTGTAGCCATTAGAGAAACATTTGGTAAGTACGACGATGTGCTTCAACCTGGTTGCCATTGTCTACCTTGGTGCCTTGGGAGCCAGGTAGCTGGTCATCTCTCTTTACGTGTGCAGCAACTTGACGTTCGCTGTGAGACAAAGACAAAGGTTTGTCGACTGCAAAAAATTAACAATTGATTGACTTCTTTTCTAAGATTATCTGTACAAGGGCTTATTCAAGAAGAAGAATAAGAAGCTCCTTGTGCTAGAGGTTCAGAGATTGATGCTTATTAGTTTACTATTCTTAATGTTAGTTTATTTTCTGGATCTGTTCAGGATAATGTTTTTGTCACCGTCGTTGCCTCTATTCAGTACCGAGCCCTGGCAGACAAGGCTTCAGATGCTTTTTATAAGCTGAGCAATACAAGAGAACAGATCCAAGCTTATGTCTTTGATGGTATACTTTGTTCTTTTTGTTCAGTTCTTTACGAGAAATTTAATTTTGATAGTATCTTTTATTGGGCTGATTTTGATGGATTCTACTCCAGGGAACATTTACTGTTGTGTTTAATGATAACTCCTCAATGAAATAAATAATTATTTACCAGGGCAAGAAATTCTAACTAGCATAACTAATGTTTGAAGTTTAGCCGTTAGCACCAATCCTCTTCAGCTTATTACTTACTGTCTTTTGTTAAAAACCCAACAAACCAACAACTCGGACCAACCCAACCCAAATTATAGGGGTTGGGTTGGGTTATCTTTTTAACCCGAATGGACTCGGTTCGGTTTTGGGTTCATATGAGGCTTCTTTTATGACCATTCTTTTTGAGAAAAGTCATTTTAGACACTATCTTTTAGTGCTGTATTCAATTTTTAGTAGTTTTTTTTAAATAAAATCTTAGCTAAATTTACAGAGACAAATTTTTAAAAGCGCTTATAGTTTTTTGAAGTTGGGTTACTAAGGCTGATGTTCCGTTGTTTTATTCTTTTAGTTATTAGGGCAAGTGTTCCAAAGTTGGACCTTGATTCAACTTTCGAACAGAAGAATGATATTGCAAAAGCTGTGGAAGACGAACTGGAGAAGGTAAATTTCTTCTTTTCTTCATGATTCAGAATTAACCAACTGGAGAAAGTGAATATTTTTCTATATTGTGTTTTGGTCATGTAGGCCATGTCAGCTTATGGGTATGAGATAGTTCAGACTCTGATTGTGGACATTGAGCCAGATGAGCATGTAAAGAGAGCAATGAATGAAATCAATGCAGGTAGTAAAAGACTGAGCAATCAATGATAAATGGCTTGTATTGCCTTTGGCTATGCAAATCTTAGACATGTGTATCATTTCATTGTATAAACAGCTGCAAGAATGAGAGTTGCTGCAAATGAGAAAGCTGAAGCAGAGAAGATACTGCAGATCAAGAGAGCCGAAGGAGACGCCGAATCCAAGTATCTGGCAGGGCTCGGTATTGCACGGCAGCGTCAAGCCATTGTCGATGGGCTCAGAGACAGCGTGCTAGCATTTGCCGAAAATGTCCCCGGAACGACATCTAAGGATGTCATGGACATGGTTCTGGTGACCCAATACTTCGACACGATGAAGGAAATCGGAGCATCGTCGAAGTCTAATTCGGTTTTCATCCCACACGGACCTGGTGCAGTTAAAGATATAGCTTCACAGATCAGAGATGGTCTTCTCCAAGCAAGCCAAACTCAGTAGAGTGGTGAAGATTGAAGACACTTGTGAAGATTATATACAAAGTATATAAAAGATGGCATGTGATTAATGATGTTTGGCTTGTTTTAGTTGCAAATTTGTGTGTTGTGTAGTGCATTGTTTCTCTTAAACGATCTATAAATATTTACTAATATTATTTACCTTATGAGTAGATGGAAAGCATGAAGTATAAAAGTTATATCATATTGGAAGCGTTTGTATGGGAGCTTTCTTAGACCAAGTTGTTAATGCAATCCTGTTAAACAAGCTTCTTGCTCATATCTTCTAATCTGAATGTTTGGTTTCATTTTAGCTTTAGATCAGTTTAGGATACAATTACGAAACATAATACAAAAGACGGATTGACGCTCTAAAATGATTCTCTCTGTGGATGCATAATGCTCGAACACTCCTCCACCTTGACTGGCAGTTATGAACACCTGAAAAAGAAAGGGGAAAAGGGTGAGTATATAAATATACCTAGTAAGCAACCTACTTATATGCTCTTAGGGCATCCTTGGCCTAGCAAAATACCACAAACTTTACTCTAGGCTCTAGGTGTATTGCTCTTGCTGTGTGTCACAATCACGGTTTCTAGGCAGCGGATTTGGCGATTGTGCGGCACCTACTCTCAGCACTGAGTGGGTTAAGCATACTTCGAAGTACATTGCCTGCGGTTAAGCAACGTGAATACAAACCTCGGGTCTTGATTTCAAAAGAAAATTTTAGAAAGCGAGGGAGAGAGGTTTTAGAAAAAGAGTTTTGAAAGCAAGAGAGAGAGAGAGAAGTGTTATATGGGAACGTAAGCAAAAAGGCAATAACAACGGCTTACTTACTGCATATAACTTATCGGGTAGGGAGAAGTTGACAACTAGTCGTATCCCCCTATAGTACATTTTGAGGCATTTCATGTCTACCAGGCGTAGCCATGACATTGCCGAAACGTCATACTCTTAAAAGAAAATAAGAAATAATCAATACAACATGAAAGCGGTAAAAGAAAGCAATAAAGTAGTACAAAGCAAAGGTTTCGGCGTGTCATGGGCGTGCGGCCATAGGCGACATGCCTTGGACAAGCATGACCGTGACACTGTGCATAGTCTTGGGTAGCCAGTTTAGCCTAAATAGCAGTAACTAGTGTTTAATGTTGAGGCGTTACCTTAACGAACTCTCTCTAACAGGTGGGGTTAAGATGGTGAGTGCTAGCTTGCTTGTCATTCATGAGAAGTAGCGGGCGAACTCATCCCACTTCATCCCATAGGCCATGTAGTCATCCAAGGTTGGGTGTGCTACCCTCTATACATGCTAGCTCCATTGACTACTCGCATGATCAACGCTCATCTGCAAGACAGATCCACCATGTAGGGTAAGCTAGCCAAACAATCACATAACATATCCCTAACTAGCCTCATGCCTAGCTCTACGGTAAAATACCAAAGTGGAAAAGAAAGTTGAAGCTCCACAAACATTATACGAGCTGCTATCAACCTAGAAGGCTACCTGTCTTTTAGAGTTGCCGTGGTGGTCTTCTAGGTTTCTAGGGTGGTTGGCAGTCTTGACTTGGATTCACTTCTTCAGGATCCCTCAATTCTGATTCTCCGAGTTTGGATCAATTAGAAGCACTAGAGGCCACTCCCTTTAATCCTCTCTTACGATTCTAATGCACTCGGTCTACTAGAGGAGTTTCATCCTAGGTCATAAAATAGACCAACTGACATTATCACCCTACTTAAACCGATTCTACTACTTATTCTCTATAGGAGAATCACAAATTCAATCACCTGGAGTCAATGTACAATCAACCATGCATACAATCACGCATGTTCAACGGGGCGATATCATCCATCAAGCTTTTAAAGCACAAATACACAAATTATCATCCTACGTTTTAACATGATTATGTACGAGCAATAGAGATACAATTCATTACATCAAGCGAGGATTAAATCAGACAGGCCGCTAACAAGTATGCTTATTCTCTAGCTTATCCAATCGTCCTAGGCTCAGGTCATACCAAATCTATCCACCTAGGGTTTAGTTTTAGTAGCATGCATGGAATTCCAAGCAATCCCTACTAGTATTACTTCCTGGAATTATGTGGTTACTTACTTGAATGACGTGTGCCTTCCTAAGCTAGCTTTTACGCGTGTTAGAAGCTCCAAAATTTCTGAAATTTCTCCCATAGGTTTTAATTCAAGTAAAATTAGGGTTAGTATTGAAATCGAGATGAAAAATTGACAAGTGGAGGCCGAACAGATAAAAAAAAAAACTCACACAATCAACACGCGCACTCACACGCCCGAGAGGTCTTACGAGTGTTATCGCAACACTTGTCGTTGCCCAAGGCCATTTGCGCTTGTCTGCTTTGCTGCTAACACGTGTCCCTGGCGCTCCCAGGCACGTTCTCTGCCCAGTTGTGTGACAAGTGTCCCTCTGGTTTTGATCGTAATCTACTTTCTAGATATATTTTTCTTATAATTTTTAGGCAATCACATATCATAATAAATGCATCCAAACTTTGAGATTTAATCATTCTTACTAAAATTTATAGCGTCACAAAACTCCACTTTCCACCTCTGGGCCAAGTTTCAACATGAAGTCTGCAAGAATCCTTTCCTAAATGAACCTATCAAAATTTTAAGTTCTATCTTTCAAGAAAACTCTCGATCGTTGGAAAAACTGAATCTAAAACCTCGTACATCTTTGAGAGAGGACAAGGGACTACACAAGTAGATAACACGAGGAACTACTACAATAGGTAGAATAAACCAACCTTGAGAGAGGAGAGGGATACTACACAAGTAGTTCATTAATAAACTACTATTATTTATAGGATAAACCAGAGGGGAGAGGGATACTACATAAGTAGTTCATTAAAAAACTACTATTATTTATAGGATAAACCAGCCCTACGAGGAGACAAAGGGCTACATAAATAGTTTAGCTCAAGATAAGTACCACTAACATGTGTGGCAACGATCAAGAAATTTCTAAACTAGGCCCGAACTTCTTACCATCTACAAAAAAAAGTCTATAATTTTAAGGATGCGATGAACCCTTATAAGTAGGTTGCATTTCATTTCATTTCAGATTTGTTAACACAAACTTGTGTTGCTCGGATGCACAATTATATTTATTCATTTTCCATAGATCTCAAAATCTCTTCATTACCACGATCCAATATAAAATCATAGCTCATCAATTTATACCATTCTCATACGCACTTTCAAAATCACATCCAAACATGTTCTAAGCCTTTTGCAATGATTCAGATCTAAAGCTAAAACGAGAACCGACATTCGCAACTTTTATGCTTCATGGTTTCCATCTACTCATAAGGTAAATAATATCAATAAGCTTTGTTAGATCAGTTAAGAGAAACAGAAATTTATTCAAACAAATCTACATACGACAGAAATTTGCAGCTTAAACAAACAAACCAACCACCAAACCCATTATTCACATGCAATCTTTTATATACTTTTGTATCCCATCTTCAATCTCCTCACCAATCTACTGAGTTCGGCTTCCTTGGAGAAGACCATCTCTGATCTGTGAAGTTATATCTTTAACTGCACCAGGTCCGTGTGGGATGAAAACCGAATTAGTCTTTGACGATGCTCCGATTTCTTTCATCGTGTCGAAGTATTGGGTCACAAGAACCATGTCCATGACATCCTTCGATGTCGTTCCGGGGACGTTTTCGGCAAATGCTAGCACGCTGTCTCTGAGCCCATTGACGATGGCTTGACGCTGACGTGCAATACCGAGCCCTGCCAGATACTTGGATTCGGCGTCTCCTTCGGCTCTCTTAATCTGTAGTATCTTCTCTGCTTCAGCTTTCTCATTTGCAGCAACTCTCATTCTCGCAGCTGTTTATACAATAAAATGATACACAAGTCAAAGATTTGCATAATCAAAGGCAATACAAGCCATTTATCACTGATTGCTTCAGTCTTTTACTACCTGCATTGATTTCATTCATTGCTCTCTTTACATGCACATCTGGCTCAATGTCCACAATCAGAGTCTGAACTATCTCATACCCATAAGCTGACATGGCCTACATGACCAAAAATACGATATCGATAAAGATTTACATACTCAAGTTGGTTAATTCTGAATCATGAAGAAAAAAGGAATTTACCTTCTCCAGTTCATCTTCCACAGCTTTGGCAATATCATTCTTCTGTTCAAAAGTTGAATCAAGGTCCAACTTTGGAACACTTGCCCTAATAACTAAAAGAATAAAACAATCGAACATCAGCTTTAGTTACTGCTCAACGAATTTATGAGCAAATTAGCGTCAACAAAGTGCTTAGAGAGAACTTGAAGATAAATCTCCTCTCGTTCATAGTTTAATAACATTTTTGAAATCTTATCCCAACTACAAAAGCTAGAACTGCTTTTAAAAAATTAGCTAAGATTTCAAAAACTACTCAAAATAGACTACAACACAACAATTGTGTCTAAAATGACTTTTCTGAAAAAGAATGGTTATCAAACCAGCCTCAAGTTTTTCTAACAATTATTTATTCCATTGGGCATATATCACTAAATACAACGGTAAATGTTATCTAGAGTAGTACCCATCAATACATAGTAGGTGAGGAAAGGGGAAGCAGCACAATAAAAAACACTATTGAAATTAAATTTTCGAGAAAAGTACTGAACAAAAAGAACTTCAAACAGAGTATACCATCAAAGACATAAGCTTGGATCTGTTCTCTTGTATTGCTTAGCTTATAAAAAGCATCTGAAGCCTTGTCTGCCAGGGCTCGGTATTGAATAGAGGCAACGACGGTGACAAAAACATTATCCTGAACAGATCCAGAAAACAAACTAACATTGAAAATAATAAACTAGTAAGCATTAATACTCTTAACCTCTGGCACAAAGAGCTTCTTATTCTTCTTCATGAATTAGCCCTTGTACAGATAATCTTAGAAAAGAAGTCAATCAATTGTTAATTTTTTGCAGGCAACAAACCTTCGTCTTTGTCTCACAGCGAACATCAAGTTGCTGGACACGTAAAGAGAGATAACCAGCTACCTGGCTTCCAAGGCACCAAGGTAGACAATGGCAACCAGGTTCAAGTACGTCATCAAACTTCCCAAATGTTTCTCTGATGGCTATAGTTGACTGGTCGACTTGAATGCAACCAAATGCTTGACCCATTTTAGAGTTATCAACTGTTATATCAAAAGAAGTCCATGATCATCAAACAAAGACCATCAGAGAAGAAAGAAGAACATTTTTCACAATTTAATGTATAATTTTAAAAGAAATTTAATATCTAAACTTAAGGGATTCGAGAGTTCCCTAACCTTCCAAAACGCTCCCTAACAGAGTAGTCAAAAAAAGAACCTCCTTTCTCTAATGCTCCACTATATACAAAATACTCAATTCCCACACAATTAGTAACTAACATGGGCCCATACAAAAACCCTTAATTCAGTCAGCACCTCTTCAACTCTTGCTACCATACACATTCTTAAACGAAGGCCTATCAACTTCATTACATGCGCCTAATACTGAAGATGGAAAAAAACTAAATAATATTCAGTAATTGAACTTTTAGAAGAACATTTACAGAGCCACTCCTACATTGGTGAGTGAAGCTCCTCCAACACCAAAGCTGCATGTTCAGTAATCAAACTTTATGAATGATCTTACCTTATTTAAACCTTTAAAACACAAAAGCCAAACAGCTTGGCATGATATAAACCAACACCAAATCTGCATATTCAAACAAAGAGATTTCATGCAGGTAATTAATCTTAGAAATTAACTTCCTCAATTCCAATCATATGCAATTCATGTGGGAATATCTAACCCAAGCTTTCTACTAAGATCTTCATGTCAGAAGTGAAGATTATATGGTTATGAAGAAAACTGAAACAAATCACACTAACTTCCTTCTATAAAATTCATTTTGAAGTGGTCCAGATTCATGAAGATTAAAATTGGAGGAGAAAAGGCAAAAGAAATAGGCCTCACGCATCAAAATCATCAAATTTAAGACCTTGCATGGGTACCTGTCATATTTCCTGCATAAATATATCTGATTGGAATTTGGTGACCTCCTGTGTTCTTAGTCTCAGAACGTTAAGACTATGTTTTAAAAATTTAGGCTGGTGGGGGGGGGGGGGGGGGGG